AGCTGGGCCTGTGGAGAGGTGGGAAGGGTTAACCGGGGTCAGCAGGAGCGAAGAGCCCACAGATGCATCAGAAGAGCTGCCAGAGGAGCAGGAGGAAAACCGCACAGACATGTGCCGTGGCCCAGACAGCATAGCGTTTGCAGAGGGAGTAGCTCTTCCATTCACTCAGTCGCCATTGTGTCCCTGGTACCGTTCCGGACTCAGCACTCCGAGGCCTTGGAGACTGAGCATGAATAAAACTTCCAAGTCTGATCTCTCGGAGCTTTTGGTTCTAGAGGGGAGGCAGGCACAGTGAGTAAATAAAATTCTGTCAGATGGTGGGAGAGATGGCAGTGGGAGGGAGACAGTGAAGGTCTCCTTAGGTGACACCGAGTGAAGTTGAAGATTGAGGTGTGACCCATGTGGCCAGAGAGCAGTGGGTACACAGGCCCTGAGGCAAGAGCATGCATTGAGACGGGGCCAGCTGGTGCTGGGTGCCTGGGAGCCCTGCTGGTCTCAGTGGGCAGACAGGTCAGAATTCTGAGGGGCTGAGCTGCCTCAACTCAGGTGGGCCGGGCCTTAAGCGGAGGGAAGGGGAGGGACAGCAGCCAGCTCTGTAAGGACACCCAGGGCAGACAGTGGCCTGAGGGCTTGTCTGGGATGGCAGAGTCTGAGGTGTGCTGACGGTAGAGGAAGGAGAGGGGATGGAGGTCCCTGAGGGCACCAAGAAGAGGCCATGGTGACTGCAGGGCTCCTACGCACCTGCTTTGGTCTGTGAGGTCAGGGAAGATACCTGGCTGGTGGAGAGGGCCTGTGGAGGCCAGAAGTCTAGCCTCCGTGGCGGACACCGGTGGGACCAGAGGGTCCAGAAGGCTCCAGAGCACAAGCGCAGCTCCAGCTCTGAAAGGACTCAGCCGGGACCCTTGGAAAGGCCAAGGCTGGAGGGAAGGCCGGGCTGAAAGTGTGGCCAAGGCAGAGCCCTGGCATGAGCTGAGGGCAGGAGGCAGGAGGCAGGAGGCAAGGGTCTTGGACACCTGAGGTCAGAGAGCAGAGGCCCAGGTGCGGTGAGTACTCAGCGGGGAGGCTGATCTCGGGAGACCACCTGCCCACCCGTCTTCCCTCCTAGGCAGTGACACCCTGCCTCCAGCCCTGGGCCCAGAGACATGCCCTGTTTCCCCACCCAGTCCCCCTGAAGTGCACACACTCAAGGCTCCCAAGATGGATGGTCCGAGTTCTGGAGACTTGATGGAGAAAGGTAAAGGCAGGTGGCCCAAGTGGGTGGGGCAAGCAGCCATGCCCAGCTATGATGGTGCACTCTCTCCTTGTAGAAGAGCTGGCAGGGCGCCTGGCCCAGGCCATTGAGGATGGAGATGAAAAGGGGGCAGCCCAAGCTGCAGCCCTCCTGGCCCAGCATCATGTGGCCCTCAGTGTCCAGCTCCAGGAGAGCTGCTTCCCCCCTGGCCCCATCAGGTGAGACCTGGGACTTGGTCCTCCCTCACCCCCCGTCCCAGTCCTCCAGGCACCCCATCATTCTCTGAACCGAAATTCTGGCCCAGGCTACAGGTCACAGTGGAAGATGCTTCGTCGTCTGCCCACGTCTCACTGCAGGTCCACCCCCACTGCACCATCTCGGCCCTCCAGGAGCAGGTGAGCACGGGGTCTGGGGAGCCCCGCTGGAGGCAGGGACCCTGGGTGACTGCCTGGCCCTGACTCTCTGACTCCAGGTCTTCTCGGAGTTTGGCTTCCCACCAGCTGTGCAGCGCTGGGTCATTGGCAAGTGCCTGTGTGTGCCCGAGCGCAGCCTCGCCTCCTACGGGGTCTGGCAGGACAGGGACCCTGCTTTCCTCTACCTGCTCTCAGCCCCGCGAGAAGCCCCAGGTCAGTCCTTGATTGTGTTGGGTGAGGAAGATGGGGTACAGCTGACAAGGCCCTGAGCCCCACCCCCTCTACCATAGGACGCAGCTGTCAGTGCCCCCAGAAGATGGATGGGGAACTAGGCCGCCTATTTTCTCAGACATTGGGGCTGCCCCAAGCTCCTCAGCCAGCCAGCTCCAGCCTCCCCAGCCCCCTTCAGGTAGGCAGGAGCCAGGTAAGGTGGGCCTGGGCAGCTGTGGGCATCGGAAGGAAGGGGTCAGCAGCTACTGTTCCTCCTCCGCAGCCCGGCTGGCCCTGCCCTTCCTGCACCTTCATCAATGCCCCGAGTCGGCCTGGCTGTGAGATGTGTAGCACCCAGAGACCCTGCGATTGGGACCCCCTTCCTGCAGCCTCTACCCAGCAGTCACCAGTGGTACCGGAGGCAGGGAAGGGGGTGGGATCGGGAGGAAGCAGAACAGCAAAATGACTCCTCTTCTCCCACCCCCAGGTCACAAGGAGAGAGGACGGCCCTTCCCTTCCAGGCCCGAGGTCCCTGGATGCCCTTCTGAACCTCTCAGGGGACCTCCACTGACAGCTCCCTGGGGACAGATCCAGAGATGGGGGGAGGGGCCATGAGCCAGAGTCATTAAAGATTCTTCTGAGTCAGCTGAGTGCCCCCACTTTGTGCGGACTGGGCAGCTGGAGGATGGAGAGCAGGGCAGTGCCACCCAGGACACCTGGCAGAGAGGGCAGAGTCTGGCTCTCAGCTAGGCTGCCCAGCTGGGTCCAGGTAGCTACTCAAGAGCTTACTTGGACCCCAAGTCCCAAGAGGCCTTTAGGCATGGTGCTGAGACCTCACCCCCTACCCAAACTGCTGACCACTGGGCTAGGGCCCTCTGTGAGCCCCACTCCCAGCCACCGTGCCTCCCCTCCTCCACCTAGAGCCCTTCAGGCATGCAGCCTTTTCCTTTCTCCCACTCAGCTCTCTGCTCTCCTATTGGCCACCACTCCTTAGGTGGATTCCAGCCAGGATGCCTTAAATTCCCTTCTGGGGGCAAGAAAAACTCAGGAGCCCTGAGCCAGGGCCCTGTGCTACTGCTAAGGCAACATGTCCGTGGCCCTCCTGCCACTGACAGACCCACTGCGGTCCCCCTCCCCAGCCGGCTGCTGTTGCTCTGCCTGGCTGTCTGGCCTGGACCCGCCACAGCTGCCTGTTGACTGCCAGGAGCACTGCACTTCCCGCTCCCTCCAGCAGGCCCCTTTCTCAGTGGACCCCTCTGGCGGTGCAGCCAGAGACCAGGAGCACATTCTGGGCTGGCTCTCCCTGCTTATCTGCTTCCTGAGCAGAGGTGAGAGTTTCTCCCTCCCAGCCATGCCCAGCCCAACAGCTCCCTCAGCTCCTCCTGCAGGCCAGGCCCCTCCCTCTGGAATGCGGCCAAGGGCTCCCTTCCTGCTGCCCTCAGAACAAGGCCAAGGGGTTCAACACTGACACTTGGCTGGTCTCTTGGGCAGATCCCTGGGCCATGTCCAGCCAGGCCCCTTTCACCTCTCCCCACCCCAACGAGCTGCCATCTCTAACAGGCCTCTGCTTCCTGTCTCACGTACAGACCTGATGGGACTCCCAGCCAGCAGTCAGTGCCGCACGGCATGAGACAGTCCTGCGAGCTCCGAGGGCAAAGGTCTTACTCTGAGTCCCCTGCAAACTACACTCTCATCACACAATAGCCCAAGTAGATCTATTGAGAAACTTAATTTATTTCCATGATAGAGGCTGAAGAATCTGGAGCTCCAGCCCGGTCTCCTGCCCCCTCCCCTTTTGTCCCAGAGAAGAGGGGCTTGGCCAAGAGGGCCAGCTGGGGTCTAAAGAGACCCAGGGTGGCTTCTTGGCTTGAAGGCCCATTCAAACAGGATGGCAAGCAGACCTTCGGCAGGGTCACTTGGGTGGACGATATGCCAGCTTCCGGCTCTTCAGTACTGACCACTTATGCCGCTTCATGGCATAGACCAGGGGCAACAGCAAGCCCATCATCATCAACATCTGGGGATGAGACAGGCTCAGAGAAGGGAGGCAGAAAGGAGCCCTGCCCAGCTCCCAGCCTCCCTCTGCCATGCCCACTGTGCCCCCTTGCCCGATCCTTTCACCTTGAGCCCCATGCGTTTCCGATGGTCATGCTCTGGCTCGGATGCCCAGCGCAGGAAGGTGCACACATCCTTGGCTACCTGGGACATGGTAGCTGGGGTGCCTGGACCAAGGACAGGTGGTGAGGGCTACCCTTGGGGCCCCTGCCCAACCTAGGATACCCCCAGAGCACCCCTTCCATGGCAGATGGGTCCCTGCCCAAGGCTTCAAAAGGGATGGGACCCCTCAGGACACAATGGCCTGAGCTGGTCAGGGCAGTGAGGCTGCCCACAAGCCTCAGACAGACACACAGTGCCCCAACCAAGGAGAACCCAGTGGGGAAAGTAGGGACCTCACCATCGTCAAACTCCAAGACCTCGTCATAGATGGGAGGAGCCATGCCAATGGACTGGCCAGGGAAGTAGGGGTTGAAGTACAGGCCTTCTCGTAGCGACACCCCGGTGGGCGGCTCACAGTAGCCCGTGAGCAGGGAGAAGACGTAGTCTTCGCCACCGTGCCTAGGACCAAATCCATGCCTCCTCAGCCTCTGGCAGGAGTCGGACCGGCCTCCCCTCCCGCCAGCCCTGCGGGAAGCCTGTGTACCTAGCTCGCACGATGTAGCTGAGGTCAGGGGGCACGGCTCCATTGTTGGCTGCTCTGGCAGCCTCAGGGTTGGGGTACGGTCTGGGGAAGTAGTCAGACAGCTTTCCGGGTCGCATGAACATCTCCCCATCATCATTGGGGCCGTCCTGAATCTCCACCTGCCACGAGAGCACCATCACCAGCCTGCTCTGTCCTCCACAGAGGGAGCCCCAATCCCAGGGTCCTTGGCACCGTCCCCAGGCACCCACCTCTTCGGCCAGGGCTTTAGCTTCATCCTCAGTGTAGCACACGCCCACCAGGTGGCGGTAAGCCACGTAGTCCATGCTGTGGCAGGAGGAGCACACCTGCTTGTACACCTGGAAGCCCCTCCGGATGCTAGAGAGACGGAAAGCGTCAGTGGTGTCCGGGGCCCACCCCACCCAGACACCCCCCGCCAGCCAGCCGCACACCTGGTGTGGTCCAGGGAGGAGAGGAGGCCGCGGTGAGACCACGGGTAGCTGGGGGGGTGCAGCTCCAGGTCGCTGGCACTCACCGCCGTGTGCAGAGCCACGGCCAGCCCCGCACCCCCTGCCGCCAGCATGCCCAGCGCGGACAGCATCACTTTTCGGCCCCGGGATGAACCAGACTTGGACGACAAGGACACTGCCTGCAAGAGCCGCGCTCAGCGCCTG